ACCATGCTGTCTTGGTGATCACAGCTTTGTAATATAGCTTGAAATCGGGCAACGTGGGATGCCTAGCTGTTTTTATAGTTTCTCTCTGTTCCTTTATTCTTCCTTTCTCTCTTTCCTTGATGTCTTATAACTTTCTTTAGTGTTGAGATTCCTTTCTCATTCATTTTCTATTATGTATCCAGTGTAAGCTTTTGTTTTATGGTTATCATGAGGTTCATATATAACTTCCTACATATATACTGGTGTATTTTAAGTTCATAGCAACTTAAATTTGAATACATTCCAAAACTGTACATTTTTATCCCCCTCTCCTATGTTTTAGGTTTTTGATGTCACTTTTTACAACTTTTTATGTATTCCTTAACTAATTATTGTAGTTTTAATTTTACTATATTGGTCTTTTGACCTTTGTATTAGCTTTATAAATAATTAACTCACTATCTTTACTATATATTAACCTTTTCCAGTGAGATTTTCACTTTCACATGTTTTCTCATCATTAATTAGTATCATCTCTTTTCAGCTTAAAGAAGTCCCTTTAGAATTTCTTGTAAGGCTAGTTTAGTGATAATGAAGTCCTTTACTTTTGCTATATGAAAACTCTTTATCTCCTTCAATTATGAATTATAACCTTGCTGAGTAGAGTATTCTTGGTCACAATTTTTTTTTCATTTAGTACTTTGAATATGTTCTGCTGCTACCTTCTGCCTTGCAAAGTTTCTACTGAGAAATCTTCTGATAGCCTATGGGTTTATCTTGTATACAAGTTATTTCTCTCTTGCTGCTTTTAAGATTCTCTATCTTTAACTTTTGACATTTTAATTATACTGTATTTTGGTGTGAATCTCTTTGGGTTCTTCTTATTTGGAATTCCCTGGGCTTCCTGGATATGGATGTCTGTTCCCTTCCCCAGGTTAAGGAAATTTTCAGCCATTATTTCTTCAAATATGTTTTTCTGCCCCTGCTTCCCCCTCTTCTTCTGGGACTCCTATAAAGAGAATGTTACTCCACCTGAAATTGTCCCAGAGCTCACTTATGTTATCTTCACTTTTTAAAAACCTCTTTTTGCTGCTCTGTCTGGGTGAGTTCCATTTCTTTGTCCTCTGGCTTGCTGTCTAACCTGCTCTTCTGATTCATCCAGTCTGCTGTTGAACCCCTTTAGTGTATTTCTCAATTAATTTATTCTACTTCAGCTCTGAGACTTCCATTTGGTATTTTCTAGCTCTTTGCTGCAGTTTTACTGTGTTCATCCATTCCTCTCCCAAGTTTGGTAAGCATCTTTCTGACCATTACTTTAAACTATTTATCAGGTAATTTACTTATTGCCATTTCATTAAGGTCTTTTTCTAAGGTTTGTCTTGTTCTTTCATTTAAAGATATTCCTCTGTCTCATTTTGCCTGATTTTCTGTGTGTGGTTTTTTTTTTCCCCTACATATTAGGTGGAAATAGCTACCTTTCCCAAACTTGAAGTAGCCGTGTGTAGGTGACCTGTGAGGCTGAGAAGCACAATCCCCTCTGGCCACTGGTGCCAGGTGCTCAAATGGAGTCCCAAGTGTGGGCTACACACACCTGCTGGCTGTGGCATGGCTGTGGCATTGGAGGGGCATGGCACTCACCTGGCAAGCTGGGGTGCAGTTATGGCTAGGGATGGATGGGATGCTTGCCCAGATGGCTGTGGTGCACCTGTGGTGTGGGGGGGCGTGGGGTGTGCCCAGGTTACAGGAAGATTGCCAAAACAGTGACTGCCAACACTGGCCTTAGCAAAGCCGAATGGGATTGCAGAAATGGCACTTGCCAGCACTTCTGTCCGAGAAAGAGTCCCAAAAAGTTCCTGCTTCTCTGGCATTCACTTAAGAATAGTAAGTGGGTCTCCTTTACATGTGGCCTAGATGCTTTTCAAGGTGCAGCTTTTGCTCTGGATCCCAGGGTGAGTTGAGCGTGCATGCAAACCCTTTATGAACAGGTTCTCCATTCCCTAGGTTCTATGGTTTTCCTGGACATCATTCCCATTGTTTTCCATTTTGGTGGCTCATCTCTTTGGTGCAGAACCCAAGGATTGGGGTGCCTGATGTGGGCAACATTCCTCACTCCTCAGTTTCCACATTTTTGAGATCCTTCCTGTTTGTGGGTTGCTGCACTGGGGGTGGGTTTTTGATGAGAGCAGGTCTCTGTCTCTCCTACCGATCTCCATGTTGCCTTTATCCTCTGTTGTGGAGGTACTGTCCATCGAGTTTTCAGAACTCTTCCAGAGGAAATTATTCCACATATAGCTGTAGGTCTATTGTGTCTGTGGGAGGTAGTGAGTTCAGGATCTTCCTACACCTCTATCGTGTCTAAAAAACTTTTATGGAATACCCCATTCTCTCTAACATTCCCCATAAACATGGCATAATGTAGTAGAACCCACCCATCAACCAGGCAGTTGCTATTTCAACAGGACCATACTACAAATAATTGGTTTCATTTTCTTTCATCTCACCGAAAATTGGAAAATATCTTGAATTGCTGTAATAAATAGTAACATGTTCTTTCTAAAAGCCATTCCAAAGTAGGTATGAGTTCTATTTCTTCTACATCACCTATTTTAGTAACCTGTAAATATAAAGCACAAAACCATTTCTTCAAAAAATATGCACTATTTTCAAGAAATTAAGAAAGCCTGTGTTTGCCTCATAACTACTTGCTTTTATAATTCAGCTTGTTCTATATATGACCTCCACCACTTCATCTATACCCAAACCTGATTTCCCTTCCCACACTGCTTCTACACTTGCCATTTTTCTAAAGCTATTTCTCATGCTCCAATAGAGGAAGAACAAGAGAAACTTCTTCCTCACCCTTAGATACTTTTCACAAATATCTGTTCATTTTTTCAGTCTCATAATCTGCACATTTTCTATAAAAGTAATATTTATGTGCTCAATTTTAACTACAGGGATGTAGTAGTTCCAAAGGGACCAATAATCCCATTACCAAGGTACCCTATTTTGACATCCAAGAACCACAGGCCTTTCATCAAGAATTCCCTTCCCCAGAGTCGCTCTTCCCCATCTGAATGTTAACATTTTTAAAAATTTCTTCTGGAAATAAAAGTATGCCTATATCAGCACATATGTACTTATGTGCATAGAAATTGTTCCTCCCATTTTCAGCTGATAATACACATCAGGGATATCTCCACATCTACACCTACAGATCTGCTTCATTCAGATGTGGCCCTGCCCACATGTGCTTACAGTGTAGTTGGGAGGCTGGGAGAGTAAGGGGAAGCAGACAGACACTAAGAAAATGATCAAAACAAGTAACTCTATAATTACAACTTGCGGTATCAGAACGCTATGTAAGAGTGTAATGGGGGTTTCTACATCTGGCAATGAACTTTCTGACAAACCTGAGGAAACACTTTTTTCTTTTACTATTGTAATTCCTATTATGTCAACAAATCCCTGTAGTCTAGTTTCCTTTAAAACAAGAACTATAATTATTTGAGATAAAAATATTATTAAAATTGAATACTTAAACTATCTCTCTACAGAAACGAAAAAAACTTGCTGTTAAGTAACTTTCTCCCAAAGAGGATCTTAACCATAAACTATCCCTCAAATGACCAGGTTTATCTGAAACATACAAAGACAATCTAAATTAGATAATATTTTTCCATTATGATTCTAAAAGCTGAAAACACCCATTCTATATTACCTTTGAGATAAATGATGCAGTAATAATCCAAAATTCTTTGCAATGTCTAGCTCTGTGGGCAGAGACCACCTGAAGATCATATGGATTATAGAGAACTTGATGATTTTTCCGAGGAAGGCAATATACAAATTCTCCATCATCTGTTAAAGGTTCCTGAGGTTAAAAAAATTTTAATTAACTTGACCAGATTAAGTAATAAAATGGCTGAACAACAGATTACTCAGTAAATGAAATAATTTTAGATTTAAATTAAGTGTAATATCACTGAGGAAAGCTAACATCAAATTGTGTCCAAAGTTCAACAAGATCAGTCTTATGAAAGATTTAAAATATGTAATTTTCATTCTTATAATGTGGTGAAACATTCATGAAAATTCATCTATATGCTTCCTAATGCATGCTTATTCACACAAAGAACATGGCAATATATCTTTTTTTTTAAGATTTTATTTATTTGCGAGAGAGAGAATGAGAGACAGAGAGCATGAGAGGGAGGAGGGTCAGAGGGAGAAGCAGACTCCCTGCTGAGCAGGGAGCCCGATGTGGGACTCGATCCCG